AAAGAAAGAAAGGAAGAAAAAAGAAAAGAAAAGAAAAACAGTAACTAGGGAATCACAATGAAGTCCAGTACAGATTTCACAGAGATCATGGAAAGGTTACTCAGGCGATCCAAATAGTAATATTAACAATCTAAATAAATCTATCTAAATTTCTGAGGAATGAGAAGCCTTCCCTTGTCATCAGGTAAAGCCAGTAGAGGGAGGGTAGCCTCAACCAGAAAAGGAACAGTCATGAGCAATGTTGTCCCCATTATTGTACAATGGACTGACTTTTCCTCTTCATAACATCACAATCCTAAAACGACACAACAATTAATTCTGATATATTAGTGGCTAAAAAATTCCCATTTCTAACTAAGGTTGGTAAGAATTATAGGATAAATCCTACAGACTTTTTATACTACTCATCCACGCCATTACTCACTGTTACCTTTCCAAATACAAAGAGAAGCACTGGTAAAACATAATTATATAAATCCCCATATTCATTTTGACATATTTGGTATAACATTTGCTGTGCTAAAAAATAATTATTCTCCCAAGAATGATGAGGCTATGTCAGTAAGACACAGGAACCAACTAGAAGAGGTTTCCCATTGGCCAAATCTGGGGCAAGTTGAGCATCAAAACAAATGATAGTAAAATACTATAATTCATTGAATAAACCAAGAATCAACAAATACATACTAATGTAACTAAAGAAAAATAAAAATATGTTTCTTGCAGTTGAATGCTAAGTAACAATTGTAGAAGAAATAATAGAGTTAGAAAATCACTATTTGGCAATCATTCTAATGACAATTGATTCCTTCGTGAATCATCAATGAGCATTAAAACTCATGGGTGAAAGTTTGATGAGGAATAGGATATTTATGTCATCTCAAAGTATCTCTTCTCTATTAATTAAAAATTTTAAAAAGAAGAAAATATACTTTGGAGAAACACAGCAGACAATACCTTCAAAGAAGTTATCAATTATGAGACCAACTGACACTATGCCTCTTGATAAGATATACTGAAAGGGCCACATTACTTCCTGATATGCAGTCAGAAATTTAAAATCAGAATCTCACCAGAAGGAAAACTAAATTGAGGACATTCTATAAAATAACCGGACTGAACTCTAAAAATGTCAATGTGGTGAAAAACAAAGAAAAGCTAAAGAATTGCATGAGGTCAAAGAACTATGACAACTAAACACAAATCTGGATTGAATATCAAATAAAAAATAAGGGATAAATAATATTATTGGGAAATCTTAATAAATTTGAATATGGACTGTTTATTACTTATTAGTATTATAATGGTGTTAATTTTCCTAACTTTGTTAAGACTAGTGTGCCTATTCCATGAAAGTAGAAAATGTTCCTGCTCTCTGAAAATGCATGCTAAAGCATTTAGGGGTGAATGTGACAATGTCTGCAGCTCATTCTTGAATCAGTTCAAAGAAAAATTAGTTACATTTATATAAACATATGTATGTATGTAAACAGGCAGAGTTATAAATATAGATGTGTGTGTGTCTTTAGAAATGGGAGGATTTTTTGCTGTGTGTTGTTGAAGTATGTTCACACTATCATATTTTGTATGTCCAGGACTTTATAATTTCTACCTTCAAAATTAGATCTACTGTTTGTAATTAATTCAATGTGTACTGGATTTTTAACTATTATTCTCATTTCCTAGCAATAACTTCCTGAAAATTCACAGAAATGATTACATTCCTTGTTCTTCGTAGTAATCACTGTTTGCTAAAAATAAGAATATTTTAGAAAAGATCTGTGGCCTAGTAGTTAATACCCCAGTATTTGATGCTAAACAGATCTAATTTGGAGAATTGTGATCTACACTCTGGTGATTCTGCCTATACAGTAAGAGAAAGTGGCGCTTTGCTGTCTAAGCTGGGGACCAGACACTGTGGGTATAAATAATAATTCCACACACAGCTCCACAGAACAGCCCTCCCATGACAAGGTTTTCACATGTCTATAGTTAAGCCAGAAAATTAAGAATAATGCCATAAATATTTATAAAGCTGAGCAAATCCCAGTTAAAGAGCTTTATCCTAAAATTGTGTCTTTTAGATTATTTTCTAAAGACTAATACCATTTAATGTTTAAATGTTCTTTTGAAATGATGGTGAGAATATATGATAATGGGTTATTTGTTTTAATATTTTATTTGGCCAAGTGAAAAATTGGCAACCTGGTGTCAGTCCTCCCATTTGTATTTTACTGGTGCATGAAATCCAAAAGCCTAGGAACCATTGGGATAGACAACTCTACTGCATAAGTTTGTATGTTTGTATATCTGTATCACAAAGCCCGGACATTTGAACTATATAAACTTGTCATACTAAAGACAGCAAATATGTCTGGTAATTACATATTCTTCATGTGTGCACTGGAATTTCTTATTATATAAGAAAATAAATGTGTTTCTAAATCACTATGAATTGGGTACAGCTGATAGTACTATTCTTCCTGGCACATGGAACTATTCCAATGAGGTCAATCAATATCGATTTAATCAGTGTAACAGCAAAGGCACTAGAGGAGGAAAATACTCCACACAATCAAGTACAGAGGGGAAATTTGTATCACCAAGACATTCTTAAAATCACAACTGGATAAATTGCAATATCAATTGATTACTCAATGGCTCGAGTCCTTTATCATTCCCTTAGAACACTCCTCATATTTGCAGATAACTCACCTCCTCACCTCAGCAAGAAATAAGAGGACATCATTATAAATTTCCACAACTTCTTTCCTAACCAGTGAAAAATATCTAAGTCCCTTTTCGCTTCCCTTTTCTTCCCTTCCATTGTCTTCCTTTTTCCTTCCTTTGTTTTTCTTACTTTACCTCCCCCCTCCTACCTTTCCCTTTCTTCCTTCCTCCCTCTCTCCCTTCCTTCCTCTCCTTCCTTCCTTCCTTCCTTTCTTCTTTTCTTCTATCCGTCCTTTAATATCTTTTCAGAGATTAGTTTTTCCCTTTCATTCTATGTTCTCTGATACCCTCCTTCATGACTTGTTCTACTTCTCTTGTATCTTCATTCTTTCCCTCTTCACTGATCCTTTTGGTCTGCCTTTGCATTTTCAAAATCAGTTTTTCTAATCTTGAAAAATAACTTGGCTCAACCCTGATGCATCTTTATTCACTGTGTCATTAGCTCATTATTTTTAAAGATTAGTTTCTAAAACTGGGGCTCTATACTCACCATCTTCATTCTAAAATTTAAAGAAATATAGGTCCCAGCGATATTTCTGAGAAAATTTGACTGTGAATAATCTTGTTGATATAAACACTTTGGGTTTACGAAATGTTGTGCTAGCTGTTAACTCTCCCAATAAAATTATGAAGGAAGGGCTAGAAAATACAAAAGGTAGATATAGGAACCAAGAACATTACCTGTATGGAGCCAAGCTATACATACTCTGTCTCTGGTTATGATGAACACATCTCCTGTATTCAATGCTTGCTTAGAAATGTATGATGTCCACAGAGCAATTCAGTTGTTAGCTGTGATGGGTTTTTTGGTTTGTTTTCTCCCCACAGAATTCAACTTTTATTTATGAGGATATGGAGACCAGAAAGTTCCTGAAATAAATTTGTAAAAGAAAACATTAATAATAAATTTATCATGAAAAATATTGTTATAGAAAATTTAATTTTTCCTCTAAGTTATTATGAACTGACTACCCCTGTGTTAATTAAACTTGCCAGTACGCATGTATATATTTTGTTGGAAAACATTGAGATACAAGTCTTATTTTTCTTCTTCAAGCTGTTTGAAATAAATTGTGACTCAAACAGATTCAAATACCTGCTCAATGGTGAATCTTATTCTTCCAGAGCACCTTCTCTCTCCTTCATGCTCTCAAACCTGACTCCTACTTCTTCCACTTTAAATTAGCTAAATTTGATCTCTTTTCAGTCTTCATCATATTTGGTAGATTTTATAGATTTTGATGGTGATGATATTTGCCTCATTTAAATTGCATTTTATTTATAAAACTAGGGTGTCCTAGATGTCTTACTATATCTTTGATTCTTTGCCTTTACTCTCTTTCAATTGTTTTTCTCCTTTTGGATTTGTGCTGCAGCATCAGCCTTTTTGCTAAGTTGGTGCTGAATCTCCACCTGTCTATTGGTCTTTTGTGCTTGCATATTCAGCTATCACCTTCAACTTGATATGTCCAAAATTAGTCCCTTCTCAGCTCACTGCAACTCCCCGCCTCCATTCCCCAGGTTCAAGTAATTCTCCTGCCTTGGCCTCCTGAGTAACTGGGATTACAGGTACCTGCCACTGCACCCAGCTAATTGATCAGCTAAGTTTTGTGTTTTTAGTGGAAAAGGGATTCCACCATGTTGGCTGGGCTGGTCTGGAACTTCTGATCTCAAATAATCCACTTGCCTCGACCTCCCAAAATGCTGGGATTACAGGCATGAGCCACCACACCAAGCCTATAATGGGATAACTTCTGATCCATGTTTTAAAGAATAAGCAGGGTAGGACAGCCAGGACAGCAAAAATGTCAGACCAATGGACAAAAGCACAGGCTCTAGCATCAGACTGCCTGGATTCAAATGCCAGTTATAGTTATATTACATACTCCTAAATGACCTTGAAAGTTTCTTAGCCTCTCATTGCTTCAATTTCATCATCTGTAGAAATGGTATTAATAATTCCTATGAGGACTAAATGAGTTAATGGAAGTAACCCTTTCAGATGAACATTTCCAGGCATATAATTACTGCATAAGTCTTTGTCCTAATGATGACAATCAAAGACACATATGAAAATAAGAAACACATGGACAGTTCAGAGCATTTTCAAGAGTTCATTAATGCCAAAGTGAAAAGTGAGCAATGACAGTGACTGAGAGACAGGCAGTGTCCAGATGATAAAGGGCCTTAAATGCAAGGTGGAGGCCTGGGTGATGAAGACCCATTTAGAAATGTGTAAGAGAAGCAAAAGTGGGTGTGGTGAGAACAGATTTTGACTTCAAGACGAAGGAAACATTCAATGTGAATTTTATAATTATTTTTTCTAATTCTGTGAAAAATGACATTGATCAAAAACCAGTAGATGTTGGTGAGGTACAGTGAAAAGGAAAATCTTATACACTGTTGGTGGGAAGACAGATTAGTACAACCTCTATGGAAAACAGTTTGGAGATTTCTCAAAGCACTAAAAGAGATCTAATATTCAATCTAGCAATCCCACTACCAAAAGAAAATAAGTTATTATATCAAAAAGACACCTGAATTTGCAGGTTTATCACAGCCCAGTTCACAATTGCAAAGAAATGGAATCTACATAAACGTCCATAAATTGATGAGTAGGTAAAGAAAACCAGGGGTGCCAAAGGTAGAGAATGCGGTCATGGGTTCTCAGTTTCTATTTCTGCTTCAGCCAGTAAAGCGCCTTCCTCATCTCTCTTTTCCACTGATCACTGGGGACAGATGCTAAAAGTCATAGCTTCAGGCTGCTAAAGCCTAAAACAAAACAAAACAGAACAACAACAATAAAATTAGGTGGGATAAGCTTGCATACTAAATAGCAGTATTTATAGTAGAATACTACTCAGCCATAAAAATGAGTGAAACTTCTTTTGCAGCAACGGGGATGGAACTGGAGATCATTATCCTAAATGAAGTAACTCAGGAATAGAAAACAAAATACCGCATGCTCCCTTATAAATAGGAGCTAAGCCATGGGTATGCAAACGCAGACAGAGTGGTATAGTAGACACTGGAGATTCGGAAGTAGGGAAGGGGAGAAGGAGATGAGGAATAAAAAGTCACTATATATTACTACATCACTACACTAAAAGCTCAGACTTCACCACTATATATTTCATCCATGCAACAACAACAAAAAAACTTGTACCACTGAAGCTATGGAAATAATAAATTAATTAAATAAGTGAATAAATAACAAGCAATTGCTGAAAACAAAAAGATAAAAGAAACAGAAATTAGGGCCAAAGTTTAGGAAGCTACTGGGAGAACACAAGCACTGATGAGACATAAGCCTTGAATATCTTCTTTCTGCCCAGTGTAACCAAGCCCAATCTTCATGATTCACAGACAGCTTCCTTGTTTCTTATTATTGGAAGAGAATTTTTTCTCCTACGAATCTTTGTAGGATTCAAAACTGTCAGCGTTTGGACGTGTAACCAGATACTCACATCCAAACACTTTTGAGAGTAGGGGAGGACAATATTAATAATTGCGCTAAAACAGGCACAATCCAGGACTCTTGCAGGCACATCAGGACAGAGGGTTACTAATCCACCTTTACATGTAATTTGGAATGTAGGTTTCTTCCTTTCATCATCCTTACTTCTACTCTGCCACAGGAAAATATATACCATATGGTGCCTGACAGGCAGAAATAATCCTGTGTAGTGCTTGGCATACACACAATGATGAGTAAGTATTTAGCAAATGAGCAGTTGAATTAAATTTTAGGATTGCTTTAAATAGTTTTTTCTTTTTAAGTTTTTACCCCTCTAAAATCTTTTTTTTTTTTTTTTTTTTATACAGAATATAAGAATTTTATGTATAAGATGCATAAGATATCACAAAACTTACAAATGAAAATTGACCTTGGCATATTACAGTAATATTGGATATATATGACTCATACATGCATAAGAGTACATACCATATCTATTACCTATAAAGAAATAGACATAGATATAAGCATGGGTCTAAGTATAGATATGTTTATACACAAATATTTTTAAAAGATTGATTTTAAACTCTTTAGAACTTAAGGGTTATATAGTACTCACCTCATTTTTTGTTATGGTGGAATTATTGAGCTTGCCATTTTTAATTTATTTATTCTTATCTTCTAAAAGGAAGCAGGGTTTCTGGACCTTGTTTTCTCTTCAACATTTCTTGGCCTGATTCCTATCTGCATTATTAATGTTCATCTTTCATCAGGGATGGTGAAGAAATGTCTTGCTCAGCAGTATTTCTTGCAGTCATGGAAAACAAAAATTTCTAAAGGCAAACAAATTGTGCCTTTGATCAGCCTCAGTCATAAGTGCAGTAATTTGCCCTACCTAAGGGAAATGTCTATTGAGTTATACTGATTGATAATCTGAGACCAGTGAAATGCTACAGTAACCATAAGACTGTGAATGTATAAATATGTAAGGAGGCAGATAACAGGATTTATGGGGAAAGATTAAAGTACCTAGGAATATTTCTCTCAGAGAAGAGAATGAGGAATAACATTAATACAGCAGAGCATGTTCTATTTATTATATGTTATAACTTGCTAAAATAAAATTCATTAGGCATTAATAGTATTAAATTTAGTATGAAACCAATCGTGTATGTCTTAGAATTTTATGACATTCCGCTTTTACAGTAATGTAGACTTTTCTATAGCATGCATCTTAAAACTCTGCCAGCCTCCTCCACCCATTATGCAGTTCCAAAGCTGTTTCCACATTTTTAGGTATTTATTATACCAGCACTCCCACTTTTTGGTATCAGTTTCTGCCTTAGTTCATTCAGATTGCTACAACAAATGCCAGAGACTGGGTAGCTTTAAAATAACAGAAATTTATTTCTCACAGTTCTGCAGGCTGGAAGTACATGATCAAGGCCACAAAAGATTTGATGTCTTGTGAAGGCCTATTTCCCTGTTTGCAGACAATGGGCTTTGTACTAAGTCTGCACATAAGAGAAGGAGTGAAAGAGATCTTTGGGCAATTTAGGACACTAATCTTACTCATGAGGGCCCTGCCATCATACCTAATCACCTCCCTAAAATCTACCCTCAGATATCACCACATGGGAGGTTAGGATTTCAATATATCAATTCGGTGGAGATATAAACATTCAGTCTATAGAATATGGCAAATGCTATTAGCAATAAACATTCAGTCTATAGCGTATGGCAAATACCATTAACACATTTGATGCTACTCAATTCTTTCTTATCACTTGAATTAATAAATAAAAACAAATTGTGAATAATTACAGTTAAAAGAATCTCATTCAGCAGTAGTTTTTTATTTTATTTTATTTATTTTTATTTTTTATTGCATTTTAGGTTTTGGGGTACATGTGAAGAACATGCAAGATTGTTGCATAGGTACACACATGGCAGTGTGATTTGCTGCCTTCCTCCCCATCACCTGTATCTGGCATTTCTCCCCATGCTATCTCTCCCCAACTCCCCACCCCACACTGTCCCTCCCCGATTTCCCTCCAACAGACTCCAGTGTGTAGTGCTCCCCTCCCTGTGTCCATGTGTTCTCATTGTTCAACACCCGCCTATGAGTGAGAACATGCGGCGTTTGATTTTCTGCTCTTGTGTCAGTTTGCTGAGAATGATG